TCGAAATTTCTTGTGATATAGTGGGCGGAATATTATTATATGAGACAATTCAATGCAGACGTCTTTCCAAATTTGGCAGATCGACAGGTAATCGGTGAGTTACCACGATAGTTGCTATTCAACAACTCGACAACGTCCCATCGTCAACGCCTGCTATGAGAATTTTCCATTGCAGACGCCTACGAAATGACGTCATCGAGCTATCGATCAACTACCCTGGTTATCGCCTGGTACCTTATAGCACGATGCTAGGAGGTGAACCCGAAGAATCGATGAGCTACCTCTCCCCCCTCCTCTAATTGTCACTGTTGAGGATAAACTCGTGCGTGATTTCGACAACTATCCTGCTACGGTTTCTTATGACTTCCGTAAAGCTGACCACCGTAGCATCATGAATGTATTGTCTAGCAGGGTATGGGAGAACATCCTTGATTCAGATGACGTTGAGGCTGCAGCGCAAACCTTTTCACATGTCATTGACAGACTCGTCCCGAAAAGAACTCACCACAAAGTGTCTCACCCTCCCTGGCAGACGAGAGAGCTACGTAGGTTGTAGTCAATCAAGAGAGCAGCATTGAGAAGATTTACGAAGTATCGCACGCTTCCTCTGAAACTACATTATGTGAGGCTGAATCACATGTACCAGCGAGTCAGCAAGTGAATGTTTTTCAAGTTTCCAACGAGGCATCCAGCGCAAACTTAAGCTACACCCGAAATCCTTTTGGAATTACGTGAACGAGCAACGCAGGGAATCCGGCCTACCATCGTCTATGGAATTCAACGGAGAAGTTGCTGCCACTGTTCAGGATATATGCCACCTTTTTCCGAAAAGTTTGCCAGTGTATTCACTAATGAGACACTAACTGACGACCATATTAACCTGGCTGCCAGGAACGTTCCAGTAATCGATCAAACGCTGGGTGCAATTGATGTTAATGCAGAAATGATTTCTAAGGCCGCGACTCTGCTCAAGTCATCCTTCAATCCTGGACCTGATGGAGTTCCATCTGTATTTTTGAAGAGACATATTGCTGGCTTGTTAATTCCGCTTCTTCGCCTGTTCCGAATGTCTCTCTCAGGTGGCATATTTCCATTTTGCTGGAAATTTGCGCACATGTTTCCCGTCCACAAAAAAGGGAGGAAACGAGCTGTGGATAACTATCGAGGAATTACATCGTTAAGTGCCGTTTCGAAGCTATTCGAGCTAGTGATTATGGAACCGTTGCTGTCCCATTGCAAGCAGTATTTGAGTGCTGATCAACATGGGTTTACTGTCAGCCGCTCTACAACCACCAATCTGCTGTGTCTCACATCGTATAGAACCGAAAGCATGTCGGATTGGGTTCAAACGGACGTTATTTATTCAGACCTATCCGCAGCATTCGACAAGTTGAACCATGCTATTGCGATTGCTAAACTCGGCAGGCTCGGTGTATGGGGTAATCTTCTGAGTTGGTTTCGATCATATCTTACCGGTTGGCAACTAAAGGTTTCCATAGGAGATTGCAGATCAGCTAGCTTCTTCGTCACATCAGGGAAGCCACATGGGACCGTTAATTTTTATACCGTACTTCAACGACGTGCATCTGGTCATCGAAGCTCCTCGGTTATCATATGCAGATGACCTCAATATCTTCCTACGAATCTGCTCCATTGCTGACTGTCACTTTCTTCAACGTCAACTGAATGTATTCGCTAGTTGGTGCAGGTTAAACAGAATGGTAGTGAACCCAGCCAAATGCTCCGCTATTACGTTCTCACGAAAACAACAACCGATAATATTTAGCTATGACCTGCTTGGCTCGACAATCGAACACGTGAATCAGGTGAAAGACTTGGGTGTGATCTTGGATTCACAGCTTTCATTCAAGCAACACATTGCATACGTTGTTGATAAGGCGTCAAGAACTTTAGGGTTCATTTTTAGGATAGCTAAAAACTTCACTGATATCTACTGTCTAAAATGTCTCTATTGGTCGATTGTTCGATCGACGCTTGAGTATTGTTCAGCGGTTTGGAACCCAAACTACAACAACGGTGCCGGGAGAATTGAATCTGTTCAACGTCGCTTTCTTCGTTTTGCGTTGCGTAGATTGCCTTGGAATGGTTCGTTTCGATTACCCAGTTACGAAAGCCGTTGTCAACTTATCGACCTAGAACTTCTCCGGACTATAAGAGACACAAGCAGAGCCCTAGCCGTGGCCGACATCAGCAAGGAAGGACAGATTGCGAGGCTATCCTGAGGCAAATTGACCTGAATGTTCAACCCCGACCGCTTCGTAATAACCTTTTGCTAAGACTGCCTCTACGTCGCACAAATTATGGAGCACACGGTGCGATTTGCGGACTCTCCCGTGATGCGCTTCGTCGAAAGTTTTCTTCTGTTTTTCGGCGGCAGGAGTAACTGACTATAAGATATATGTTTTTTAATGTTTTTTATGTTATGATTATGCTTGAATGTATTTTTTTTACCATAGTTTATATGGTTAACATCATTGGGTCTTCATCCAGCCTGTTGATGTAAAACAACAATAAACAAAATAAAATAAACATTGACGACATTTAAAGCTATTTTTCTTCAAAAATCAACTATTTAGTAATAACCCTTGCCAGACTTAACGACATGATCAATGGTCAATATTTCTCAGAAAATGAGTTCCTTGTATTCAATGCCAACTAGTTTTCGATTACTTTTTCAAAGGGACGTATCAGCTTTTGTAAACAATGCATTTGATCGTTGATTTGGCGTAACTGGTAGCTCGCACACGCTTACTTAACACCACTAACAGGTAGGGGACAATTTGAGGCATAACATCTCTGATCACGGAAGGGAAGCTATGTCGTTTGTCCCCGGTCTATGAGCTGATGGGTCGATAAGTAGGGTCCAGGTGTGGGAGCTGCCTCCCTGGCGTCGGTAGCATTGGTACTCAGCACGGAAAACAAGATCGACGGAAAACAAATCAAGGCAAAAAATTTGGGTTTAATCCATTCTAGTGAGTGCATACACGAAACGAAAATCAATTATTTTATTCATGGTTTCACTTATAAATTTTTGCCAAAACATCAGCCTTATACACACTTAATTCAGATCACCGAAGTCGGTAGGAATTTACCGGGTTTTTGAACAGCAGAACAAGTCGTTAAAATTTTCAAATGACCGTTGCACGTGAGAAATCAAGCAAATTTATAAATCTTATTTTTCATCAATAAATGGGGTAAACCGAACAAAATCTGTACAAGTTCAGAATAAATTTTCTAATAATTGGATTTTTCACTGATTTTTAAACTTTTACCGAACAGTTCTGCACTAGATTGCGGAACAGAGACCGACGTTAAATAAAGGAAAGAAGACATTCCATAAGACAAACCACATAGGTCCTATAGGAATGCATAAAAGGTATGTGTGACCGCTTATACATTTCATTTGACACATGATCTTCATTAACTTTTTGCAAGGTGTCTGCTTATTAGTTGAATTATACATTTTATGGATAATCAGCTATAGAAATTTGCCAAAAGGTATAAGGAGAGTTCTATCCGTAGCTGACATTCCATTGATTCAATAACAACGCTTGTTATTTTATAGATTTTAAATTGAGCACAGGTAAAGATAAAATGAATTTAAGTTAATTTAAACAAATTTTATTTGATAGCCACTTGTCTGCCATAGTTCTGCAGCATCAAGCTTTGTGATGTCAGGTGTACTTTGATTTTGAAAGTTTTTTTTTCCCATGACTTGCATTAGTTAATTTCCGAAAGATGGCTGAACATGTTTAGAACCTAATTATGAATAATAAAGGAACTTTATTTCAAAAATTGAATCTGAATTTCACGATTTATTCAACAATCGCCCAATTACAAAAAAAATAACAAAGAAATTGTTCATTTTGGAGTTGAAATTTCTAAACCATTTATTTTGTTATTAAAATATTATTGAATGAAGCAGCAAAAAAATATCTCGTTGTCCTACGTCCTACACAACCCTTAGTTCTTTTTTAAAATAAAATACATCGGAATGAGTGTCATTCCCCTGATTTATACTTGTCTTGATGACACATTTCGAATTATAATTAAATCATAAATATTGCCAATACTATTCTACAGGTCTAATTATATCAATTTGTGTTAGCTTGAGTAGTTCTGGAATTTACTTTTGTTTATTTTGATGGAATAAAAAATATATGAAACGTAATATTGGAGTATTTTTATACTGTGCATGTGCCAGTATCATCGGCACAACGTAATGTAGCACAGCTTTGTCGCACGACAGCTAAATTGTAGCTTCCCTTAACCTCGTGCACAGCACGCGACTCTGCATGTCTAATATGATCTCAGGAACATGGGAAGGCGCGCTACATACCTTCACATTTGACGCGATCGTGTTGATTCTCGCGACTTTGTTTACCGGACGACCGAGGTAGTAATTGGACAGGGGTAGGGGCGGTGTAGACGCGGATGCGGCACACCGCGCGACGAGAAGCAAAATAACAACGCGAAAAAATGCCATAAAGACGGCAAGCTGTTGAATTGAACGCGGCCGCGTAGAAAGCACGAAGCAAAGAATAAAAACAGAAAACATGTGGTGAGTAAGACACCTAGCGGGGATAATGCCAGAGTAGTTGGGATCTTTTGGTATCGATTACAATACTTATCACAAATTCGCATCTTTTAGAGTACTACCGTGAAAAAAAAAAAACGGGGTGGCGAGCGAAGGAAGTAGCACTCGACCGGGCAGGCAGGGCGGTGGCGTTTTAGGTATAGAACAGAGTGCTTGGGACGGGTGGCTCTCCCTCCTCTACTCTGTCGAGAGCCAGTCGTCGTCGGTAGTTGTTCACTCAGCGGTCAGTAGTCATGAGTATCCTTATGAGCGGGGTTCTCGTGGGACCGTCGGAGCGCGCGCTAGCTTGGAAAATTCTCTCCCAGGCCGCGATTTTAGAAGCAATTTGAGCATTGTTGATCTTACAGCTCGATCAGGTCGACTCGAGTGGATCACTGCTAGACGTTCGTTGGCTGAGGGGGTGGCAGTGTACTACTATTACTGAACGTCGCCAATAAGGAAGATTCTTTGCGCGGCCCGTTCATTTCAGTTTCAGTTCTAGTGCGTGCGCGAAGGCGTCCGGACGTGCCTGATTTGAAGCCTGTTTGGAGCTTATCGGTGGTAGATTCTAAGAACAAAGACTTGGCGGTCGATCGTTAGAGTCGGTATTGTGTGTGAACGGAAGAAAACCGCGTCTGGCGTCCAGTGTGTAAATTGAATTCAATTTGAATCTGTTTACCGGCGTGTCGCTCTTACAAACGTGTTTCAGTTGATTTTAATTCAATTTGGTCACTCGCAGGGTGTTTGCAAGAATTAAACGGTGAGTTCACAGTTCAAGATGCGGTGGTTTATTTTTGGACGATAGTTTTCTCACATTGCACTAATTCAATTAAGTTGAGCTGTGTGAGCAGAGCACATCATGCGAGTACATTTCGCGCCGGACCGTTATTGCAATTTTATTCATGAATATTATGATGACCTAGAGCTGTGTGAGCTCCGAGCTTCGAGATTGGGCCATGTGTTGCCAGTAAGATTACGATTCTCGTTATTGGGGTAGAGTATGTCCATGGAAGTCGCGTGGTAGCAACAATGCTCAGGGAAAGTAATTCACATACAATACTGCTCTTCGACAGACCAGACGGTGATAAGGGTAGTCATTTGAAAGGAGGTTACCTACATTGATATCGACTGCTCTGCCACTGAACAGATGACGAACTTCCCATCACTCAAACCCGTTACTGTCGACATGCATGACTTTGAACAAAAATAGGATGGTTTTGTAGCTTCGTTGTTATTGACTATGTGCTAAATATTCCCTATAAATCCAATACCAACAAGTGTGCAGTATCCGTGTGATCGAAAGATGATTGTAAATTGTGGAACACATAGAGCATTCCATTCGTTCGCTCTAGTTCAAAACGCATCACTTCTCGAACCGGTCTGGTGTAAGAATCGTTTGAGCTGCGGTTTTGCATTATCGGCGTACTTTTTCTTCTTCTTTTTATTTGTATTGATTTGTATGATACGAGCAGCATTTTGTTGCAGTGTAGGTCTGTTTAATATTACCACAATAAGCTGCTATTGGCCCCCTGGCCCTTAATATAGGCGGTGACAGTGAATTGCAAATGTGCAGTGGATCGATTGAAATGCATTTTTGTTTTCGCTTCGACCAACGACGGCGGACTGTTGCTGGCTCGACGTCGTTACTCTTCTTGCGTGTGTGTGAGTTCTGGCCTTTGGAGTGGGTCCCGTTCCGCGCGTGACTCTGGGTCGACAAGGAAAGGAAGTGCTAGGTGATGGATGGGTCAACGTCGAACGTTTGGACTCGTTTAATCGTTACACAATTGCTTGTAATTTATGGAGCGGAATCAATCGTGACTTACTTGTTGGTTGATGGACTTGACGATGATAAAGTTTTTCTGAAAGGGCTTCGCTGTGATCCATGGTTCGTAAATAGTTCAGTAGATTAACTGCCGATTTAAATTTAGGATTAGGAGTATACGCATGAAAAATACATTGAATGTGTTGTCTGTGTTTTAAGTAGCAGTGGATTATGGATGGAAGCGAATGACGTTTTTATGAATTAGGTTGTAACTGTAAATCAGGAAGGATTGAATTCTGGACTGAGAAAAAAAAATGAAAATTTCGGAGTTAGAGCTTTAAGATTGTAAGGAACGAAAAATTATCATAATTATTTTCAAAATCACATCCAGGGTGTCTACTCATTATGCTTGATAAAATTCACTGAGTTTTCCATAATTTTCCAGGACTTCAACGGGAAATTTGTAGATTTTTGAAGGATTTTTTTTGTAGACGTGAATTCCTTTAAATTTTTCTCAGAATTCCCTAGAATGTCTTCTTTAAGTTCTCTAAAGATGATTGCAGGAACAACCTTGAAATGATACATCGTATTTCTTTGAAATTTACCTCAAAGCTTCGTTGAAAATTTCTTTGAAACTTTCCTCAAGTTTTCTTAGAAATACTCCTAAGAGTACACACTTAGTAAAAATCAAGTAAATGTAAATAAAAAAGTAAAAAGCGGTATTCGGAAATACTCAAATCTCATGCATGAATGAGTTTATTCGCGTCTGCAAAATTCAACTGTGAAAAAATCACCGATTGTTAAAAAATGCATTGCTCTGGCGAATCCCATGTTATTACTGTTTTTTCCTTGATTTGTTTTCCGTCGATCTTGTTTTCCACACTGAGTACCAATGCTACCAACACCTGGAAGACAGCAACCGCACCTAGACTTTACATATCGACCCATGAACTTATGGACCGGGGACCAACGGCTTTACTTTCCTTGATAAAAGATTGTATGTCTCAAAAAATCCTGACGGCACCGACTGGGCCCAGGTCCTTTGGAGTGAGAGGCAGTCACGCTTACCACTACACAACTGACGCCGCTGTTATAACTGTTGTTTTTTACATCAATCGATGGAAAACTAACACAACGTGCATAAGCATGCTATCAATTTCGGTTTGAGCGGTTTTATGAGTTTAAAGCTTGAATGAGTTTTTGCCGTTGTGAGTGGGAATGTCATGGCAGTTACTAAGCTCTCAAAACTGATTTGAAATTTTTAATAAAAAATTACTGGGTGCAGAAATATCTATCTAGGTATATGCGCCCGTCAATTACTATGTTTGACTCAAAAAATCTGCCAAATTAGAAAAAAAAATATATATATATTTAAAATGACATAAGATAGCTGAATCCTAATATTTACATATATTTTAGACATTTTAGCATGTTGGTTTTTAAATGTACTGTTTACGTGGTACATATTTTTTACGTATTGTTTACGTGATACATATTTTATACGTAATGTTTACATATCAGAGAACTTCAAGACACTTCCATTAATTTCAGGAAAATAAAGGAACTTTTTTGGAAGTTCTGAGAAGTTCAGGGAACTCCAGAAAAATCTAGGAAGTTCAGACCTTTTTAGGTCAAGGTTGAAAACTTCAGTGATGTTGCTTAGGAAAATCTTAAGCATTCAGAGATCTTTTAAAAACTTCAGGAAAGTTCCGAGAGCTACAGTAAAGTTTTGAACTTTAAGGAAGTTTTTTGATCCTAGAGAGTAAATTTTGAGAACATCAATGCAGATCATAAATTTCAATAAAATTTCGTGAACTTAGAGATGAAGATCAGAGAATATCACGACCGTTTCATTAACATCAAGCAAATTTCAGGATAAATTGCAAAAATCTCCTGGTAGCCGTCAGAAGAAACTTCTGGAGGAAGTCTGAAAAAAAACTCACTGCCGGAGGAAACCAGAATCACTTCTAGGAGGTCGAAAGAAACCTCTAGTTGAAGTTGGAACTTTCTTCCGGGGGAAGTTGTAGGAAGCATCATAGATAACAAGCACAAGGTTCCGCGGGAAGAATAATGAAATTGCCGGGGAAAATTGGAAGAGCTTTCTTGAAAATATAAAAATAAACTTCGGGGAGTAGACGGAAGGCAGTATAAGGGGCAAGGTTGCAAAGACTCATTTCAGCTAAAATAATGTTTTTCGGAATAACAAAACCAAAAGATGGTATGATGGCATGTTTTACTTATAACTTACAAGAAGAGGTTACAAAGTATGCGTTGGAAACATAAAACCTGTAAATTTTGCTTTCTATGAGTCACAATCAGCGATTTGCTGATTGCTGAGTGAGTGAGTGAGTTTGTGAAAAATCGCTGATTGTGACTCTCATGAAGTGAAATAAACAGGTTTAATATGTCAAACACATTCTTTGCAACCTCTTCTTGTATCCTACCAATTCAAAATTTGATCATGGCATCTAATTATTTCATAATTTAGAAAAACATTGTTTTAGCTGAAATGAGTCTTTGCAACCTTGATAAGGGGAAGTCAGAAAAACGAAATCCAAACAAATCTTAAGAATCTTTCAAATAAAATCTGAAGAAACTTCAGGAGGTAGTTAGAAAAAGCTTCTGAAGGAAGCCAGAAGAACCAAGGATTCAAACACAACATAGACTTTATCCTTGAATTCGTAAATATTGTAGACATTTGGGGGGGATCTTGAACAAACTGTGTCGATATTTTGAGTGAAAGCATTGTGTGAAAAATGGACCATAGCAAAAAGCGCTCAAATTAACTCAAATGTTGCACTGTAAACTCTTCCGTATTTGATATTGAAGGAACCATCGAGTTAGAGAGGATAGCGAGTTACGGAGATACATTTTGGAAACTTTTATGGGAAAAGTGTTCGAAGTGTCCTAGATTTCCATCGAGTTGGGGGGAATATTGAGTTAGGGAGAGATCGAGTAAGAAAGTGTTAGACTGTACGAAAATCTAATCTAATATAAAGTAAAACAAAAGGAGCCAGTACGAGAAAGCAAAGTTAGATAATGTCCAATCACATTGAATATTTCTCACTGTAAAACATCGTCGCTAGAACATCTATAATGGGCAGTACGCTCAACAGATGACGGTAATGTGTAAACGTCAAACGAAAGGGAATTGACTATGCATGCCACAGGTGGTGTTACTACCAACTAAGAAACATTTAAATTATCCGATAGTCGATCAAATTGCAATTGTCTGTTAGTCTGTGGTCCAATCATTTATCTTATCAATATTGATGATTGCACCAAATCTAAGATACGACACAAACATAAAAAAGGCCGGGCCTACTACGTTGTATTTGCCGCAAAGATGAATCTTGGCAATGATTCGAGTTCAAGTACAAATATTCAAAAAACTAAGCATTTCTTGAATCCACAGGGGTGGAAAGATGCGTGGACATACCGTGCCAAACGCTCCGAGCTATATAAATGTGATTACAATAATAATATGCCATGTTATAAATGGTATATAAAATGTTAATGATGGAAAGGTCTCACCATATGAATCCAATGTTTCCAGTAGTTCCATGCAGTCGGTTGCAAGCTACAGGTTAAAAACAATATAAAACCGGTAGCTGATCGTTTTGTTTTGATTTTTATTTACTTTATTTATGACAAAATAATTACCTAGCCGTAGGCTAGTTCATCTCAGCGGTAGCTGAACGATCGTGGCATCTAAAAACTCCCTTGAACAGGTGACATCAAAAGGATCTCACCAAGTTGTTTCTGATAGACTGCTTCTTACTTTTCCGACTTTTCCGTTTTCACAGTAGAAAAAACTTAACTTCCGATGGAATCAATAACAATGGCAATTTTCACTCTATTCAAAACTGAAATGCATTTTTTCCTTGATTTGTTTTCCGTCGATCTTGTTCTCCGTGCTGAGCACCAATGGTACCGACGCCAGGGAGGCAGCTCTCACACCTGGACCCTACCTATCGACCCATCAACTCATGAACTGG